AGAATGCCAAGACTTAAAAGTTAATGCTTATTTTGATAGATTTTAATGCTTGATATATCTTTATTATGTATTTTAAATTGATTATATTGTCATTATGGATTGTATTTTTATTATGATTGTATTGTTATTGTGGATGCCAAAAAATCCAAAATGATAACATGTTCTTAGACACTGAGTTTAGAAATGAAATTGGATTTTTGATAACCAAGGCTCCTTTATTTATACCAATACAGGTCTATATATAGTACGCAGTCCAAAAAAAAAAAAAAATCAGAAATAAAAGACTGGCAACATGTCAAAATACCACTTGGCTAGTGCATCTAATGCACTTTCCTTGTTCTCCATTATTCGAAACCATAGCAGCTGCTGATTCAAAGAATCCAACCAATAACATTTTTTAAGAAAGCCTTTACCCTGCATATTAAAGTCTAAAGGCTATATATATTACTCAATAACAAGTGTAGCGACCTTTTTTTTTTTTTTTTTTTCTCTCTTTTCTCTCACCTTTTTCATTATTCTTGAAACAAGCCATGCCCATTTTGAAGAATCTCCATAATGAGAACAGAGTAACAACAAACTGCACCACCCAGAATAAAGCACTGATGGACGCAAATTGGTGGGCATAATCACTTGTAATCCCAAGGGAGATGCTTGGTTTCTTTAGTGGCAATAATTCCCATAGTCTTTTCTCATGATTATTTTTGTTTATGGCCATTTTTTTTTTATTTAATACTATAAGATAAAGTTTTCTATGGTAGTGCCAAAACAATCAGGTGGGACAAATGGGATGGGGACTCCAGTTGAAAAAAATGAATTCATGCAGCAAAATCTTCCTAAAAAATTAAGTGGTCATGAGTTGAAAGATACTAGTCCAACGTGGTGCAGGTTTCCAAAGAAGGGGAAAAAAAAGGGCATTTACTAAGGCTTTACTTAGTCGACCAAACATTGGAAAATTGTTTGATGCATTTGATGCATGCTTTACTTAGACCTGTCATCTGACTATACAAATTATAACTGAACATATCCAGAATAATTCGAGATAAATTAATAGAACTTCCACTTATTTTATCGAAAGAGTTCTTTAATCTGTCGTTTCTGGTCGATCATTATCTTGAAACGACAATGTTGGAAGCAACACATTTCAAATGACATGCAGGTTATCCTCTTACTTCAATGGGATATGGTATCTTGTCAAAACATGATTTGTTGTTTTCACAGAATTTTGAATAATTGTTTTTTACCACTTTTACAACGGAATTTATGGAAGACATCAAAACGCTGAAATAATTTTTCTAATGTAGTAAAACAAATAGTTTCCTCCCATTCGCTTCCTTCATTTTTTCATGAATAAAAAAGTTTTCATAAAGGAAATTAGGTATAATAATCATTTCTCAAACAAAACAATCATGAAGATAAAATTTGTTTTCAGCAATGTCTACCAATTAATTAATTAGCCATTACCAAAGTGGCTCTCTTCAATGCCTAGTCCAACCACAGGAGAACCACCAGCTCGTTGGTCCACTTCACGCCATGCCTTTCATTGATTCCTTGGCTTAATTCATAGTAGTCATCATTTTCATAAAGTATAACACAATAAAGCCTCTTGCTTTCTAACCAAACTCCATAACCATGGCCTTTTTGTTACATTTTTTTTTATTCATGAAAAAGGCTAAACTCTAAACAAAAAATATTCTATTATAAAAATAAAAGAAAGCAACTCCAAGAACATCTTCTTAAAAAAATTTATTACATTATATTAGAGCATGCTCTAAATACAAAATATATACAGGAAGAGAATAAGTATATGATGCAAGCTAGTCAGCTAAACGGTTAACTTTTTTTAAAATATGAGTAATTTGTACTTGCACTTACACTTATTAAGGTTTACGAAGAAAATCACAAATAATGAAGATCAACTAATGATATTAATCACAACGATTTTTAGAAGATAGTGTTAAATTAACTACAGTCAAAATATCCGATTTCAAAATAATATAAAGATATCTCATATTCCAAATCATTTTCAACCCAACTACAATGCTCCAAACTTCCTTTTTGTTACGTTTTCAAATTCAATTTGGCTCCATCGACAGACACATAGTTGTACTTAAAAGAATAATTTCATGGTCAAACCCTACAGAGTAAGAGACCCACATTAGTTAAAAGACTTAAGAAACAGTTAGATGCTCTAAATATCTTATGAGATCCTTTTGTTTAATAAAATCAGTCAGATTTATACCATTTCGAAATGACTATCGCTATGTCATTGAAACATGCTATTTTGAAGTTCATAGCTTATGTTTCCTGACCCTTTCCTTTCAAGCTTCGATCAGCTGCCACCTGTTAGATTCTTTTTCTTTTTTTTTCCCTGCTCGTCCATGCACTATGCATCGTATTTTAGCAGCCTGTATCATATCTATCATGTTTTGATTTAAAAGATTTTTGCAAAAACACTACTATCACTGCTCCAACTATTATATCATAGCCTCAGAAACAATACGTGTTTACTTTCTCTATGCAGTTCATTTCACTAAATGATCAAAAAGAGATAAAGATTCACATGCCATACTTTGATAGTAGACTTTGACCTTCACTGAGGATGATCAGTAAATATTTTGTTTTTCTTCCAAAACCTATTTCTTCACTCCTAAAGGTTAAAATGTAGGTAATTAAATGACACTTTAGAAGAAAAAAATTGGAAGAAAATGCAAAAAAAAATCCATAAGTTTTCGCATATTTTTTTAGCTCTTTAAAAAGTTAAAAAAGTCAATCACATATTTACCCATTAGAATTGATGGTAATATAACATAGAAATCCAATTTAAAATGAAATAGATGTTTAAAAAATTAAAAAATCAATCACATTTTTAGCCATTAGAATTGACAAAAACCTAATATAAAAAACCTGATTTGAAATGAAAAATATTTAAAGAAAAATCAAATTCAAAATTGAAAAAATAATTTTCAAATGACTTAAAATTAAAAAGAAAAAACCATGTAGCTTATATTTTATTCTTATTCTATCCTAATTAGCCGTGGATGCATGGTTTTTGATACTTTAAATTTAATCTTCAATTATCTTAAAAATAAAAATGATCGTGATGCTTGCAAAATACTGTGTTACAAAACAGAATATAACCTAAATAAATAAATAAAACTAAAATTTAATTACCAAATGTAATGACTTTTTTTTTGAAAAACAAAAAAACAGGATAATTACATTATAAATATACCAACTTTCAGTTTTTTTCAATCGAGTGTATAAATTTTAATTTTTCTCGTTTGAATACATCAATTTTTTTAAAATTGTCAATCAAGTACTTTTGTCAATTTTATCGTTAACTAATGATATATGTTATTTTCAAAATACTAAATTATAATTTTACTCATTTTCTCAATCGAGTACATTAACTTTAATTTTTTGTTTGAATGCATCAATTTTTTCAAAATAGTCAATCAAGTACTTTCATCAATTTTTTCGTTAGTTGATAACATGTTAGAATATGAAATATAATTTTATCCTCTTTTTGTTGAAGAAAAAATTTATCACCACATTATTTTACCATTTTTGAAAAATAATTAAAAATATTATTTTTTATCTATAAAATTCTAAACTAAACTTAGTTAAGTTGCTATTTAAAAAAAAAAAAAAAAAGAAGAATTAGTTAGGTTTAAAAGTGAAATTGAAGAAAAACACAAATGAATATTCTCGATGAAAAATCTCACGTTTGCGTTTTCTTTCATGCCTAAAACCTAACTATTTTTTTTAATAGTAAATCTAACTAAGTTTAGTTCAAGATCTTAGAATTAAATGCAATCTCACGTTTGTGTTTTCTTTCATGCCTAAAACCTAACTATATTTTTTAATTCTTTGTTAAATTTTAAAATAATAGAATAATTTAAAGAGAAAGTTTCTTACAACAAAAGAGAAAAAAAGTAATTTGATATTCGGACACATTATCAATTAATGGAGAAATTAATGAAAATACTTGATTGATAGTTTTAAAAAAAATTAATTTACTCAATCTGAAAAAGTTAAAGTTCATGTATTCTATTAAAAAAAGATAAAATTATAATTTGATATTTTGAAAATAATAAACACGTAATCAATTAATAAAAAATTGATGAAATTACTTGATTGATAGTTTTGAAAAAAGTTAATATACTCAAATAAAATAAAATAAAATTTATTCACTTGATTGAGAAAAAAATTAAAAATTGATATATTTATAGCATAAGTATTCCCTTTTAAAACCACGATCCAAAACTACAGTAAAATAGGTTTGTAGCATCACACATGTCATGAGGCAGAGCAAATCTATACTGGCTAACATCTCAAATCTAAGGGTGTTGATAGGAAGAAATCCAAGGTTAAGAGGCTTAAAGAATAGAAAGGAAATCCACCCACCCCATGAAAAAAATAAAAAAATAAAAAATAAAGCATTATTTCTTATATTTTATTCTCATGCTATCCTAATTAGTTGTGGAGACATGATTTTTGATGCTTCAAATTTAATCTTCAATTATCTTGAAAATAAAACGGTCGTGATGCTTGCAAAATACTGTGTTAAAAAACAAAATATAACCCCCCCAAGAAAAAAATAGTTACTCAACGTAATGACTATTTTTTTAAAACCAATAGATAAAACTACACCAAAATCGTAGCAACACGCATCTTATGAGGCGGAGCAAAATCTGTATTGGCATTACCCATCTACTTAGATCTAAGGGTGTTAATCGAAAGAAATCCAAGGTTAGAGGCTCAAGGAATAGAAAGCAAATTTTATCACCCTCCCCAAAAAAAAAAAAAAAAAAGATCGAAACTTTCTCCTTTTCATTCTTATAGGAGGTGAAAGGTGATGATTTACACAGTACGGGAGTGCCAGCATTTTTCTTACATCCTCAAAAAAAAAAAAAATTCCAACGACGATTTGTTGTTTCATCATCTTCTTACTAGAGAAGGCTCAAAGGTACATTTGTGATTTGTCCAGATGTTTTCTTCTATTCAGAGTCAGAGTCCATATTTCCCATGGCCTTCAACCCTCTCGGTCTCTGCATGGAAACGAAAGAGATGATACGTGTCAAGCTCGTAATAAACCCCACATTTGAGCAAAAATCATGTTGGAGTGAAAATAAATACTTGTGGTTCATCGTTTTGAGTACCTTCTTGGTGATCTTCTTCTCTCTCACTTCATACCGTTCTAGTGTCAAATCACACAGCCATGCCCCGGGACTCACAAGCTGTGCAGCAGCAATTTTCAGAAAACATGATCAGAATCAGATTAAAGCTCCCTCTAGAAAATTCAAATTTCAAAGACAACCCAACACTGTTCCATAAATAGGGAAAAAAAAAACCCTCCAATTTTAATGCGACACTATTCCCTCTTCCTTTAATTTAACCAAAATCCACCACTTTTCAATAATAAAAAATTTGAAAAAATATTTCGTTGTAGCCATCAAGGAATGACAATTTGCCTATAAAGTAAACAATATTCCCAAAATATCGCATAAAACAACTCTGAAATATGTATAAGAAAGAAATGAATATGATATTATACATTTGGTGTTTTGTACCGCTAGTGTGGCCCATGGTGGAGAACAATCAGCAACCACCATAATAAACAACGGAGAAAAAATGAAAGATGGACCCCCTAATTTGGTAATTGACAAGGAACCGTTAGGTTCTTGCCACTTTTGTCGGCTATTCTTCGTTAGACATTTGGTGATAAGCATAATTGTGTTTATTAAATCCTCACCCTACAAATGGACACCATGCAAAATCCATTTTTAATCAAATCTAATGTTTTACTTTAATTCTCTCTGTCACCGAGCCAAATTCCAAATACTCTTAACAAACTCAAGCACCAGATGTGCATCCTTGTTAATTGTTTGCCCCCATTGTCTTCCATAGGTTTTTTTTTTTTTCAAACAAAAATTTAATGAGTTATTGCTTATAGCCGAAGCATAAATTATGTTATCCCAAGAACAATAATTCTAAACATTCCTGGGGCGTTCCACACTATTACAATCATGTGGACAGCAATATGGGTGGTGGTCCCCCAAGTTTAATTGTATTATTCAATCATATTATCCATTTATTGATTGTTATTATTATTATCGTTTTAACTACATATACTCAAAGCAATTTACCATTCTTCTCGTCATGTAAATAGAAAAAAAAAAAATCAACCACTAAATAGAATAATGGATGTTGGAAAATTCGATCAGATAAAACCACCTAAAACGTTTCAAAAGATTCAGTCATCCAAATCCCACTCAGATCGGGAGCTGATGGTGCTAACGTAACCTACAACCAAATGGGTTTCTCATAGAAAAAAATTAATTATGACAGGTGGACAGTATATTATGACATGGCCTATGAAAATGCATTGAATTTGTCAAATGACCATTTCCTATTAATTGCTTCTTTTTGGTACAAATGTCCAATTTACTGCTATAACATTAATCACAATTAACATTAGTAATTAGTACGTCACCCTAATTTCTAGTTGTTTATGAAAATAAGGAAAAAAAAACTTAGTGCTAGCAAAATGAAGTTATTATTAGTAGGTAAGACATCCAGGGCTTGACTGACACGTAAAAGAAGTGCATCTCTCACTTAGTCACATTACACGCTTTCCCAGCTTTTTCAGCCAAAGAAAAAGGCCAAAAAAGCAGACCAAAATCACGTAAACCCACACTCTACTTCCAAATCCTGAAAGATTCTACACTTACAATTGACGGTATCCTTAAAATCCGTGTTCTATTCTTTTTTCTACCCCAAAAGCCACGCATTTTCTTTAATCACACACACTTGTACCTTGTGATATAAATGCTTGTACCTCACTCCAAATGTGTTCCCTATTTTCCAATTCTATCCTTTTTCTAAATCCTTTTTCTAAGTTTTAGAAAAATTGTCAATTTCAATTCCATTAAATTAAATTAGCCAATGAGACAATACATTGATGATCTAGTAGGTTCAAAATTAAGAAACTAATCAAACATAGACTACTACTAGGATAAAAATTCAAATAAAAAGGAAAGGTAGAGAAGGGTCTTACATTGAGGGTGCGTTGAATGAACTTGGCTCTCTTTTTGGGTCTTTGAGGCAACTTAGACCCTTTAAAGGCAAAGAAATCTTCTTCTTTCTCTTTATTAGTTAACGAGATAACAAACTTTGGGGGCCAAACTGGTGGTTCTGGTGGCGGTGGTGCTTCTCCACTTCCCCCAGAGGACGACCCTCCTCCTTTCTTGCTATCCGAAGATGCCACTGATTTGTTATTATGGTTGTGATTCTCATGGTTGTTGCTGCTGTTGTGGTGGTGGTGGTTATTGTTGCCTCTCTTATCGTGCGCACCCTTGTCCGGTGAAGCAACCCTTCTCAAACCACCACCATAAATTTGGCCTCCTCTCATGGCACTTGAATTCTCTGAATTCCTATTGAAATTAACAACACAAATATAGAACAAACAACATCAAACAAACAAAATTAGACCATCCGTGACATGACTCACTAAGGAAATATAATAAAAGTAACATCTGAAGTGTTTTAATGTAAAGTAAGAAAAAAAATTAAAAAAAAAAAAGAAAAAGAAAAAAGATTTGAAGTGGGTAATTATGAAATTACGAGAATAACCTTCAACAGTTTAGATTGATCTAAGATCGGTGGGTAGGGACTGGCTAGAATCTCGACGGGTTTTGCGTAGAAAATGGGGTTTGTGGGATTTTTGGCCTCTTTTGTGGACTATGTAGGCTTTTAAAGGAGGGGCATACTAGTAGGAGGGTGTTGTTTAAATTTTTTATGTCTTCGTTGATGAAAAGTTTGAGATTTTAGAAAGAGAAAGGAGAGTAGAGATTCTATTTCTATTCGTGTGTCAATCCAACTTGAACAGCTGGTCTTTTTAGTTGGTTCCGTGGCCGTAGGATTTTGTTTTCGCTCTTTCTTAGGGGTTAATATTACGTGTTAAACTGTGAGTTGGAATGTGGGATAAAGTGGACCAGATTCCTAATTCTATGTGTAATCAGACGGTGGATGGTGGGTTGTTTTTTTATGTTAATTATTGTAACATGGATGGGGACTCGTCTTTTTCCATATTTCCAACTAGCCCCATGCTGTTGCGGATTAGAAGGGGAGAGGTTATGATCAAAAGTGTGATCAAGAAAAAGATAAGCGTCCAACAAACCAAACTACAGTATGAAAAGTCAAATATAATTTCAGTCTTTCTACTATAATGTTAATTCTGACAGTCATTTGGACCAAGAATTCCTCACTAAAGCATAACATTCATGTAATATTCCTAATGTTTTCATGCACCTCAAATCTGTTAAGAGAAATTGCAAGTAACTTCTTCAATAATCATCATAGCTTTCTCTGGGGTTTTTTGCAATCAGAAGGATTAACCTAGACGGGGTGATGATTCTAACAAGTTATACTACCTAAATCACAGAGTATACGATGACCAATTCATAAATCCTTACCTGCTGTTTAAAAACCAAAAGGTTTTAACAAGTCAATCATGTTCTTGGAGTTTCCCTCTTAAGAAGTCCGTGCTAAATCTTTAAAATAGCAAAGAGTAGCCTATTTTACTTTTAAGACCACAATTTTGTCTTGGAAGAAAGGCTATAAAGAAGCGTTTTCACGCACCTTACCATGAGATCTACTTCTGAGCCATACACATGCCCCCACCTGGCCAATTGGAAAGTGGACAACTATAAGCCTCGTATCATATATTACCCAAGCAAGCAAAATTCGTTTGATCTTTTAAAGAATTTGATCAAACCTCTTAACACCTATTGCTTCAAAGTAGCAAGTTGCAAGTTGAAGCTGAAATATTCTATGAGGTCATATATCTGCCATCACTGCACCAGTTAGGCCAGGTGTAGGTTTAAGAGTCAATGGCACCAGCGATGTGTGGCCTTATCCGTTCCCAGAACAGCCATCTCCACTCCACCTAAAAAAAGGCATATCAGACACAGACCCTTATCCCTACAGTGAACATATTTGAATATTTGCGCTCACAAAGTCACAAAAACGAAGGGTTCTATAGTACATGGTCATTAGAGCAATGTAGAGACTAGGTAAGGTGTCGAGTTCAATCAAGTCCGAAAGACCTTAGAGATGTCACAACATTGGTGCATTTAAGAAAACGCCGCAGCTTGAACCTCTCAACAGCACCAGTACTTTCCATGAAGACTGTGTGACATTTTACACATACTCCATTCTCCTACTCCAGTCCACACCATAATGTCACCAAACACTACAAAAAGTCCCAAATTTCCCAAGGAACAGTACAGTTTATTCCTAATTCCTAAGGCACTAGGTATACAAATAGATACTCTTATTTTTAGAAGTTGTTTTCATATGCCTAGACAAATGAAATCCATCTAGTATGATGGGTTTACATGCGATGAATGGACCAAATCAACCTGTGCACATAAATTGTAGATCATAGCCCTCCTCTTCACTTATCAATTATTGAAAAGCATGATTGCCACACCATGATCCATACACGTATACAAACTAAAAAGTATATAAACCACGTGGCCTTGGAGGGAAGGTGAAAAATACCAAGACATGATTCTTGAACCTAGAACTGCTAAATCCACACGCCCCCTAAGTAAAAATAAACGACAAACAAGACCCAAAAAGCGTTGCGGGCCCAGCCCACAACCTGATCCATATTCCCCCCACCACGTCCCAACAACCTCACATGATCAACACACCCACACAAGCGCAAAATTTCCCTAGTCACACCAAGTAAAAGCAAAAGGTTCATGTAAAATTCACGAGCTGTATGGTAAAAGGAATGGATCTGTACCTTAAAATCCGCTGAGGCGGCGGCGGCGGCGGTGGAGGCGGAGACGGACGTTGACGGAGATTAAAATATCCGTTAATCTGATTGCTCGTATTATTGTTGTTGTTTGTACTTCTTGGCTGATGATCAGGTGTATCTTTGTGATCAGCTCTAACAACCCGACGGTCCACCCGAACTATTGTCTTATGAACCGGAGTGGTCGAAACGTCCTTGACTTGGACTTTCATACACCTGAGCCGCTTCCGCTTCCGCTTCCCCCACTGCAAGACAAAATCAGACGACGTCGTTTGCCTATTGGGATCTAAACTGGTTCTCTGGGCACTATTATTGGTGGTGTTATTGCTCGGGCTACCATTATTGTTGCTCCTGAATGAATCTTTTTCCATTTACTCTTCTACACCTGTCCCATCCCACCAGTTAAAAAAAAAAAAAAATTTCAAAAAAAAAAAGAACAAGAAGAAGATAAAGCTACCTTCCATACATTAACGTGGCTTCCTTGCAACTTCCACAAAATTCAAATAAACGAAGCTGGGCATGTCTTGCGATAAAAAAAATAAGGGAAAAGAAGGGGAAAAAAAAGGATAAAGATAAAGATTGGCGTAGGATGTGAATCCTACGGCTCGGATTATTCAAGAAAAAACATAATTGAACTGCGGTCGTGAGATTTGTATCTTTATATGGACTAATATCAGTTGAAATGTAAGAGATGGATTCAATCTAAAAATGGATCTATAAAATTTTAAAAATTTTATCCGCCTGGAGAAACAGAACACACAAGAAATTTCTCAGAAGAGAGAAAGTGCTTTTATTGCAGAGAAAAATTCAGAAGTAAAAATTCAATTAGCTTCCTTCGAGTGTCGAAACTCTTCAAAGTACAAAAGCGAACGTGTTTTTTGAGTAGTTTGTTTTAGCCGTAATTTTCTTGGGATCATCCAGAAACAGAGATCATTGACTGAGAAAGTGATGACGAGGACGAGAATTGCAAGTAAAAATTCCAGAGGAAAGCTGGTTCTCTTGATTCAGAAAATTCATCGAGCAAAAGCAGAGAGAGAAAAAAAGAAAGAAAGAAAACATCAAGAACAATTGCCAACTATAATGTTAAAACAACTGCTCAGAGAGTGACCCTCAAGAGAGAATTCTTCAAAGAGAAAACGGTTGGCCTCACGAAAACGAAAATTTCAAGACAGAATCCATGAAGGAAGAGAGAGCAATTGAGGGCCTGTGAAGAGAAAAAAATAGAGGCATTACCTGAAAACTCCAACCTGCTGAAGAAATCCGTTGATTCTCGATGGAATTGAATACCAGATAAACTACTGATGGTTCTTGGAACACTGTAGACTGCAAAAGACCCGAAGCAGAAAAATCAGTTGGTGCTTTATAAAACAGAAAACATAGAGAGGCCTCGTAATTGGTAAATAGCAATTAGGAAACTGGCAACCTAGAGCTAAACTGCAAAATCAAAACCTAGATTCTCATACCGTTCTATATCATATAGATTTTGACGACGTGACTCTCGTGAATCACAAATTCACAACACTCTGCTTCTTTTAGCTCTCTGGCTGTGCAGTATTCAAATCTTTTTTTGGATTTTCAACTGAATGTTGATATCTCAAGGGACTTTTCATGTTAGATTCCGATCTTTGTATATCCAGAAATCTGATTTAGATTGTATCTACCAACAGAACACTGTGTCAAGAAATTCTCCAAAGTCTCTCTAAAACAGCTTATATCTTTTTCAATGTATCTACAAAACAAAAAAGAAACAAGCTAGTGATTACTTGAGAGAATTAACCAGAAAAACATCCACATCAATCCAATTACGACTCAAACTCTGAAACTGTAATAAAACTCAATTCTGATACCTTCTCTCTACAAATCTCAATCAGGCCAAGCCAATCTTCAAAATTCAAAATTAGTTACAAAAATCAGAATCCAGCGTGCAACTCACTCCTTGTGAAAACCACCTGCAAATCACTACAAATGTACCTGTAAAACAAAGAATCCAACAAGTTATTAACCACTTTTCAGATTCAACCACGCAACACTAATACAAAATCAGATTACGTTTCCTTAATTACACACCTAAAACAAGTCTGTCTCTTTAGAAGTTACAGATCCTCGACATTTATCCAGTTCTCTTCAATCCCATTCAAAATCCCATGTTTGGATAGCAAGAAAGAGATAGAAAGTGCAAGAAATTTAGCGCTGAGAACTGTGAAGGAGAGCCAACCAGCACTACAGAGAGCTTCTTCTTCTTCAATAAAACGAAAAGAATGCTCTCTCTCTCTCTCTCTCTCCCTTTCAAACACAGACTTTTATAGCCCCTCTAGCTCTCGCTATATCCAACCCTTCAATTGAGTATCATATAACCGGTGATTCACAATCTTACGGTTCACATTGACCGTTAAAGTCCGTCCATTCCTTGCCACGTTACGGCCTTTTGGTGTCGCATTTGGGCTCACGGTTTTTACTAGTCTAACGGAATCTTGAACCACGTTATGTTGTTTTCATTTTCGTTAAATTATTATTAATAGGTTGATTGTTTTGTTATTTTATCTAACTGCGATCAGCCAACTGTAGTTAATTTGAAACAACCTGTATTTTTAAATCTGGTTAAGGAATTATAAAACAAACTAAAGTAAAACATATATTTACTATTTATTTTACTATTTAAAATATTATTCACACACTCATAAATCACTATTCTTTTCACTATTTATGTCGATTTTTTAACACTTTGGTCCTCAAATTTTCTAAACTCTTTTTTTTTTTTTAATTTCAAACTTTAATTATATTATGATTTGGTCTCATTTTGTTTTAGTGTTTTCTGTTAATTATTTTTATTATTTAAAATTTACTTTTTTAATTTGCCATTTTTTAAATTCTTTTTTTTTCAATTTCAAACTTTAATTTGTTAATTATTTTCATTATTTAAAATTTACTACTTTAATTTGTCATTTTTTTTTAAATTCTCTTCTTTTTTTTTTCAATTTCAAATTTTAATTATATTGTGATTTGATCTCATTTTATTTTGGGGTTTTTGTTAATTATTTTTCTTCTTTAAAATTTACTATTTTAATTTGTCATTTTTTTTAAATTCTCATTCAATTAATTTAAAATTATATTTACTAATAGTTTTGATTTAGTTTTCTATATGCATGGATTTTGTAATAAAATTTTGAAACATGATTATTTCAAAAATAGATTTAGATCATTTTAAATTATAGTGGCATGATTAATATCTATAATTTATCTAAAATACATTTTTAGATTAAAAGTGTCATTCAAATAATTTTTTCTCATTTTTTTATATTATTTAAAATTTACTACACTAATTTGCCTTTTTTTTTTTTAAATTCTCTTCTTTTTTTCAATTTCAAACTTTGATTATATTGTGATTTCGTCCATTTGTTTAGTATTTTTTGTTAATTATTTTTATTATTTTAAATTTACTACTTTAATTTGTCATTTTAAAAAAAATCTTATCTAATTAGTTTAAAATTATATTTACTTGACAGTTTTGATTTATTTTTTTGTATGTATGGATTTTGGAATAAATTTTTAGAACATGATTATTATTTTTAAAAAAATAGATTTAGATACTTTTAAATTATAGTGGCATGATTAATATATATAATTTGTCCGAAATACATTTTTAGATTAAAAATGTTTTTCAAATAATTGTTTCTCCATTTTTTTATTATTTAAAATTTACTAAATTAATTTTTTATTTTTTTAAATTTTCTTCTTCTTTTTTCAATTTCAAACTTTGATTATATTGTGATTTCATCTCATTTTTTTTTAGTATTTTTTGTTAATTATTTTTATTATTTAAAATTTACTACTTTAATCTGTCTTTTTAAAAATTCTCATCCAATTAATTGAAAATTATATTTACTTACAGTTTTGATTTATTTTTCTATATGTATTGATTTTGGGATAAATTTTAAGAACATGATTAGTTTTTCTTTTGAAAAATAAATTTAGATACCTTTTAAATTATAGTAGCATGATTAATATATATAATTTGTCTAAAATACATTGTTAGATTAAAAGTGTATTTCAAATAATTTTTTCTCGGTTCGTTTTAAAAAAAAACTCAAATTAATTAATTAATAGTTGGAATTCAAATGTGAAAAGTAAAAAAAGATGGTTGCCTTGTGTGTGAGGCCTATATTCAAGAACTAGCCATGCATAGTATAGAAATAAAAAAATATTTAAGAAGGAGGAAAAAAAAAACAAAAAGAATTCACATGTTTTATTAATTTGTTTCTTCTTTATATAATCAAAATTATTCAAAATCAAATTTGTAATCAGTTTTATTTTATTCTATTAACTTCAAATTTAGTCAATATATTCTTTGCAAGTTAACTTTTTATAGTATTTTTTGTTTTAGACTCGAAAACTCTAAATTTGCTTAGTATAGTTATGATAAATAAAAAAATATTGAATCGTTGTTTTTTTAGAAATTGACTATGCAATTACTTGCTACACTAATCATTTATTATTTATTTATTTATTTTTAAATATTTTAAAATTAACTTATTTTAAATTAAATAATTAAAATAATATTTTGGCTTAACCACTCAATGATTCAAATTAATATAGTTTTTTATTTTAATATTATTCATTCTTTTGTAAATAAATATATAAAAATTAAATTCATATTTTTTCAAAAATCGATATTCTCATCAACATTAAATAAAAAAAAATTATTTTTTCAATTCTATGTAACTTTTAATAATTATTATTTATTTTTTTTTACACAATCTTATGAAATAATAAAGCTTTTTTAAAAAAATTTATTAATTTTTTTTAGTTAATAATCCATGGATTAACAAGGATGAATCCTTTTTCTAAATGAAAAATTATGAAAATCACAAATAAGAAATAGTTAAATATAAAATTTTTTATTAAATAATTTTTTATACCTTTGATTTCATATATTTTTATAAATTCACACCATAAAACAAACTATCAAATTGAAATGATTTTTTTTAAACGATTTTATATATTTTATTCAACCCACGGCGTAGCGTGGGCAAAAAAACTAGTTCCTCCTCTATTTCATTTATCTTAGTCGTATTTTTCTATCAATATTTTCAATAACCGTGTCCCTCTATTCTTAATTTATGTCTTAATTTCATATCTTCGGTTAATTTTTTTGATAACTGAATCAATTTTTGATGACAAACTTACAAAATGCTGACCCGTAACATTTAAAAAAAAAACTGAAAAAAAATCAAAAAATCCTAAAAATTTTGAAAAAAATTCAAATTATCCCTCTTTTTCTCTACCTCTAGATATAGAAATAAATAATTAACTTCATTCGTCATTTTTGTTTCTCTCAAATTTTGAAAAAAAAATTAAAAATCTTAAAATGCCC